GACATTCCTTTGGTAGATTCCAGGACCACACATTTTAGATAGGACATTCCTCTCCTCTGATAGATTGCAGTGCCTCATCATTTATAAAAGACATTTTATTAAAAGCGACTAATCGGGGAAAAAAGGCGGAGGAGGAGGAGGAGGAAGAAGAAGAAGAAGAAGAAGAAGAAGAAGAAGAAGAAGAAGAAGAAGAAGAAGAAGAAGAAGAAGAAGAAGAAGAAGAAGAAGAAGAAGAAGAAGAAGAAGAAGAAGAAGAAGAAGAAGAAGAAGAAGAAGAAGAAGAAGAAGAAGAAGAAGAAGAAGAAGAAGAAGAAGAAGAAGAAGAAGAAGAAGAAGAAGAAGAAGAAGAAGAAGAAGAAGAAGAAGAAGAAGAAGAAGAAAAAGAAGAAGACAAAAACAACAATAACAGCAACAACAAAACCATTAGATAAATGCCGAGAAGGTAAGTGATTACCTGAAACACAGTAATCGCCAATATTGCCATGACTGCAGTAATAGCAAACCCCAGACTGGGGTTCACACTTGTCGTCCAGACAGCTGCTGCTGCAGGGGAGTGCACACCTATGTCCGTATCTCCCTGGGGGACAGGTGGGCGTGCACGTGCCGCTGATCTGACTGCAGCGGTCGGACGAGCTGCACGTACAGGGATCCGCACAGTCCAGACCATACTGGCGGCTCGGGCACTGGTAATCTAGGTCAAAGTTATCATCTGGTTCAACTGTATGTTAGGCGCTTTGGCAGGACTATACAACTGTATGTTAGGTGGTGTGGCGGGACTATACAACTGTATGTTAGGCGCTTTGGCAGGACTATACAACTGTATGTTAGGCGCTTTGGCAGGACTATACAACTGTATGTTAGGTGGTGTGGCGGGACACTTCAACTGTATGTTAGGTGGTGTGGCGGGACTATACAACTGTATGTTAGGTGGTGTGGCGGGACTATACAACTGTATGTTAGGTGGTGTGGCGGGACTATACCACTGTATGTTAGGTGGTGTGGCGGGACTATACAACTGTATGTTAGGTGGTGTGGCAGGACTATACAACTGTATGTTAGGTGCTGTGGTGGGACTATACAACTGTATGTTAGATGGTGTGGCGGGACTATACAACTGTATGTTAGGTGGTGTGGCGGGACTATACAACTGTATGTTAGGTGGTGTGGCGGGACTATACAACTGTATGTTAGGTGCTGTGGTGGGACTATACAACTGTATGTTAGGTGCTGTGGTGGGACTATACAACTGTATGTTAGGTGGTGTGGCTGGACTATACAACTGTATGTTAGGTGGTGTGGCGGGACTATTCAACTGTATGTTAGGTGGTGTGGCGGGACTATACAACTGTATGTTAGATGGTGTGGCGGGACTATACAACTGTATGTTAGGTGGTGTGGCGGGACTATACAACTGTATGTTAGATGGTGTGGCGGGACTATACAACTGTATGTTAGGTGGTGTGGCGAGACTATACAACTGTATGTTAGGTGGTGTGGCGGGACTATACAACTGTATGTTAGGTGGTGTGGCAGGACTATACAACTGTATGTTAGGTGGTGTGGCGGGACTATACAACTGTATGTTAGGTGGTGTGGCGGGACTATACTACTGTATGTTAGGTGGTGTGGCGGGACTATACAACTGTATGTTAGGTGGTGTGGTGGGACTATACAACTGTATGTTAGGTGGTGTGGCGGGACTATACAACTGTATGTTAGGTGGTGTGGCGGGACTATACAACTGTATGTTAGGTGCTGTGGTGGGACTATACAACTGTATGTTAGGTGGTGTGGTGGGACTATTCAACTGTATGTTAGGTGGTGTGGCGGGACTATTCAACTGTATGTTAGGTGCTGTGGTGAGACTATACAACTGTATGTTAGGTGGTGTGGCGGGACTTTACAACTGTATGTTAGGTGCTATGGTGGGACTATACAACTGTATGTCAGGTGGTGTGGTGGGACTATACAACTGTATGTTAGGTGGTGTGGTGGGACTATTCAACTGTGTGTTAGGTGGTGTGGTGGGACAATACAACTGTATGTTAGGTGCTGTGGTGGGACTATACAACTGTATGTTAGGTTGTGTGGTGGGACTATTCAACTGTGTGTTAGGTGGTGTGGTGGGACAATACAACTGTATGTTAGGTGCTGTGGTGGGACTATACAACTGTATGTTAGATGCTGATGTGGGACTATACAACTGTATGTTAGGTGCTGTGGCGGGACTATACAACTGTATGTTAGGTGGTGTGGTGGGACTATACAACTGTATGTTAGGTGGTGTGGTGGGACTATACAACTGTATGTTAGGTGGTGTGGTGGGACTATACAACTGTATGTTAGGTGGTGTGGCTGCACTATACAACTGTATGTTAGGTGGTGTGGCTGGACTATAAAACTGTGTGTTAGGTGGTGTGGCGGGACTATACAACTGTATGTTAGGTGGTGTGGCGGGACTACACAACTGTATGTTAGGTGGTGTGGTGGGACTATACAACTGTATGTTAGGTGGTGTGGCTGGACTATACAACTGTATGTTAGGTGGTGTGGCTGGACTATACAACTGTATGTTAGGTGGTGTGGCTGGACTATACAATTGTATGTTAGGTGGTATGGCGGGACACTTCAACTGTATGTTACGTGGTGTGGCGGAACTATAAAACTGTATGTTAGGTGGTGTGGCGCGACTCTTCAACTGTATGTTATGTGGTGTGGTGGAACTATACAACTATATGTTAGGTGGTGTGGCGGAACTATACAACTATATGTTAGGTGGTGTGGCGGAACTATACAACTATATGTTAGGTGTTGTGGCGGAACTATACAACTGTATGTTAGGTGGTATGCGGAACTCTTCAACTGTGTGTTAGGTGGTGTGGCAAGAGCCTTCAACTGTATGTTAGGAGATGTCTCAGGAATTTTTAACTGTGTGTAGGTGATGTCTCTGGATTCTTTAACTATATGTTAGGTGGTGTATTATGGCCTGTTGTCTTCTGTGCTCACCTTATCTACTAACTTGCTACCTGTTGTCTTCTGTACTCACCTTTTCTACTAACTTGCTACCTGTTGTCTTCTCTACTCACCTTATCTACTAACTTGCTACCTGCTGTCTAATGTACTCACCTTATCTACTAACCTGCTACCTGTTGTCTCCTGTACTCACCTTATCTATTAACTTAAAAACTTGTGTCTTCTGTACTCACCTATCTACTAACTTCCTACCTGTCATCTTATGAACTCACCTTATCTACTAACTTGCTACCTGTTGTCTTCTGTACTTCAACTGTTTGTTAGGTGGTGTGGCGGGACACTTCAACTGTATGTTAGGTGCTGTGGTGGGACTATACAACTGTGTGTTAGGTGGTGTGGCGGGACTCTTCAACTGTGTGTTAGGTGGTGTGGCGGGACTCTTCAACTGTGTGTTAGGTGGTGTGGCGGGACTCTTCAACTGTGTGTTAGGTGGTGTGGCGGGACACTTCAACTGTGTGTTAGGTGGTGTGGCGGGACACTTCAACTGTGTGTTAGGTGGTGTGGCAAGAGCCTTCAACTGTATGTTAGGAGATGTCTCAGGAATCTTTACCTGTATGTAGGTGATGTCTCAGGATTCTCTAACTATATGTTAGGTGGTGTCTCATGGCCTGTTGTCTTCTGTACTCACCTTATCTACTAACTTGCTACCTGTTGTCTTCTGTACTCACCGTATCTACTTTCTTACTACCCGTTGTCTTCTGTACTCACCTTATCTACTAGCTTGCTACCTGTGGTTTTCTGTACTCACCTTATCCACTAACTTGCTACCTGTTGTCTTCTGCACTCACCGTATCTACTAACTTGCTACCTGTTGTCTTCTCTACTCACCTTATCTACTTACTTGCTACCTGCTGTCTAATGTACTCGCCCTATCTACTAACCTAATACCTGTTGTCTCCTGTACTCACCTTATCTACTAACTTGCAACCTTTTGTCTTCTGTACTCACCTTATCTACTAACTTGCTACCTGTTGTCTTCTTTACTCACCTTATCTACTAACTTGCTACCTGTTGCCTTCTGTGCTCACCTTATCTACTAACTTGCTACCTGTTGTCTTCTGTACTCACCTTATCTACTAACTTGCCACATGTTTACTTCTGTACTCACCTTATCTACTAACTTGCTACCTGTTGTCTCCTGTACTCACCTTAACTACTAACTTGCTACCTGTTGTCTCCTGTACTCACCTTATCTACTAACTTGCTACCTGTTGTCTTCTGTACTCACCTTATCTACTAACTTGCTACCTGTAGCCTTCTGTACTCACCTTATCTACTAACTTGCCACATGTTTACTTCTGTACTCACCTTATCTACTACCTTGCTACCCATTGTCTTCTGTACTCACCTTATCTACTACTTTGCTACCCGTTGTCTTCTGTACTCACCTTAACTACTAACTTGCTACCTGTTGTCTCCTGTACTCATCTTATCTACTAACTTACTACCTGTTGTCTTCTGTACTCACCTTATCTACTACCTTGCTACCTGTTGTCTTCTGTACTCACCTTATCTACTACTTTGCTACCTGTTGTCTTCTGTACTCACCTTATCTACTACTTTGCTACCTGTTGTCTTCTGCACTCGCCTTATCTACTTACTTACTACCTGTTGTCTTCTGTACTCACCTTATCTACTTACTTACTACCTGTTGTCTTCTGTACTCACCTGATCTACTACTTTGCTACATGTTGTCTTCTGTACTCACTTTATCTACTAACTTGCTACCTGTTGTCTTCTGTACTCACCTTATCTACTAACAAGCTGCATGTGTTTTTTTCTGTACTTAGGTCATATACAAACTTACGGAGGGCAGACACCACGGACATGCAATAATAATGTTTCTGCTTCTTTCAAAATTTTAACTTTGCGCTGGCTGCTGAAGATCGGGTCAGAGCGTTGTGTGAATGTCCCAAGTAAGTTTTTAACCAAACTTTTCTTTAAAAATGTAATACAAATGTACTCACCCCCGAAAATTTCGATCTCACAAAAATGTAAGCCGTTGGGTCTGTTCGGGTAAATGCTGTTGGAAGTGAGCTCCAACTTGGCCACATTTTCTAATGAGATCAAGGTGACGTCATAACTTGGCTGTGGATGTCTGTGAGAGTCATTGTAGGTCACAAGCACTGAGCCGTTCTGGTCGTAGGTTCGAATCGTAAATCCTAGCAGTGTGTTGGTTGCTGAAAGTGATATGACAACGTCAACACAGAATTTTGAATTTTCGGAGCTGAGATTCGGGCTAATTTTCGGATCTATCCACAGACTGTTCACAGTCTATCCACAGACTGTGTTCATAGTCTATCCACAGACTTTTCATAGTCTACCCACAGACTGGGTTCATAGTCTACCCACAGACTGTGTTCATAGTCTACCCACAGACTGTGTTCAAAGTCTATCCACAGACTGTGTCATAGTCTACCCACACACTGTGTTCATAGTCTATTCACAGACTGTGTTCATAGTCTATCCACAGAATGTGTTCAAAGTCTATCCACATAATGTGTTCATAGTCTATCCACAGACTGTTCATAGTCTATCCACAGACTGTGTCCATAGTCTACCCACAGACTGTGTTCATAGCCTATTCACAGACTGTGTTCATAGTCTATCCACAGAATGTGTTCATTCTCTATCCACAGACTGTGTTCATAGTATATCCACAGAATGTGTATATAGTCTACCCACAGACTGTGTTCATAGTCTACATACAGAATGTGTTCATAGTCTATCCACAGACTGTGTTCATAGTCTTTCCACAGAATGTGTTCATAGTTAATCCCCAGACTGTGTTCATAGTCTACCCACAAAATGTGTTCATAGTCTATCCACAGAATGTGTTCATAGTTTATCCACAGACTGTGTTCATAGTCTACCCACAAAATGTGTTCATAGTCTATCCACAGAATGTGTTCATAGTCTACCCACAGACTGTGTTCATAGTCTATCCACAGACTGTGTTCATACTCTATCCACAGACTGTGTTCACAGTCTATCCACAGACTGTGTTCACAGTCTATCCACAGACTGTGTTCATAGTCTTTTCACAGACTGTTTTCATAGTCTATCCACAGAATGTGTTCATAGTCTATCCACAGACTGTGTTCATAGTCTACCCACAGACTGTTCATAGTCTATTCACAGAATGTGTTCATAGTCTATCCACAGACTGTGTTCATAGTCTACCCACAGACGTGTTCCTGGTATAGTCACAGACTTGTTCCTTGTATATCAACAGACATTTTCCTGGTATATCCACAGACGTGTTCCTGGTATATCCACAGACTTGTTTCTAGTCTATTCACATACCGTTGACCAAATATATCCACAGACTGTGTTCACAGTCTATCCACAGACTGTGTTCACAGTCTATCCACAGACTGTGTTCATAGGCTTTTCACAGACTGTTTTCATAGTCTATCCACAGAATGTGTTCATAGTCTATCCACAGACTGTGTTCATAGTCTACCCACAGACTGTTCATAGTCTATTCACAGAATGTGTTCATAGTCTATCCACAGACTGTGTTCATAGTCTACCCACAGACGTGTTCCTGGTATAGTCACAGACTTGTTCCTTGTATATCAACAGACATTTTCCTGGTATATCCACAGACGTGTTCCTGGTATATCCACAGACTTGTTTCTAGTCTATTCACATACCGTTGACCAAATATATCCACAGACTGTGTTGCTTGTCTATCCACAGACGTGTTCTTAGTCTATCATTTGACCCTTGTCCTAATCTATCCAACGACCGTTGACCTAATCAATCCACAGACCGTTCCCTAATATATCCACCGACAATGTTCCTGGTCTATCTTTAATCTAGATGACAGAACTCTGGGATCGAAACCCACAGTGACAGACAAAATGGCTGTCAGATAAGAACAGGAGAAACACTAGCCAACAAACCTGAGTTGTGCAGGAGAGCTCTCAGAAGCATCATGGGTCGATCAAAATAGACAGTAAACGTCTGCCGGAGACCAGTGTTGGTGCGGGCACAGGAGCCAGAGGCCGAGTCGTTGGCTGCGCTCCCGTCTACAGCGTTGGCAGCCTCGCTAAGCGTGTCGTATGTGCTCGACTGATTCACGAACTGTTTCAGGGCCATGTTGCGACCTGCAGTTTATAGACATTAAGTATCAATAATAACAAAACAACGTTTCCACAATAAAGGCTGGCTGGGCACTGGCGTAGCAAAGTCAGGTACCCGGTGAGGAGAGTTTTGTATTATCCCCCCGCCCCCATTCCCTCCCACCCCAACCATCCAGCGGCATTGAAGCTAGCAAACTACAGGTAACTACACGCGACTCCTTCATGTGACGATTTAAAGCATGAACAGTAGGACAGAATAAGTGGAAAAGTGTGCTCGGTGGCTAATAATTACCAATGTGTATGTGAAATAAAATAAAATGTATATACAAAAACTCAAAGAGAGAACTCTTCTGTAACTGAAGTTAAGAGAAAGAAAAGCCCATGTTAACTCATTAGTGCTGACAGATTTATTAAGATGTCTCAAATGACAGCAATTGTCACAATGAACATCAAATGTGAACAACTGTCACAGATGTAGAAACATGCATTCATAGTTGAGGTACTCAAATAATCAGACAGGGGGGGGGGGGAGGTGTTGGGGAGGGGGAGAGAATTCGGGCCCCACCCACCACTACATATTATCTTGCTTATGATGCCTAATCTGTTAATAGCTTTCTCCAAGAACATATAATAATACGTATCCTTTCACCAACAATGACATGACATGACACAATGCTGTCAAGAATCTTCTCCAATCGTTTTGCTGTATTTTTTCCCCACAGATCTGTCCATCCGTCACAGCAGCTTTCTCCCCGTGTGCCTTCCAGGTAGTGGCGTTGATTAGGAATATTACAACCCATCCCCACTTTCTCCCGAACAATTGTGTCGTGAAAGCCGACAAACTAGAAGTAACGAATTGCATGTGCCTGAGATGAGGAACCAACAGTCTTTGTCTTTGAAAAAAAAAAGTCAGTTTAGTAGAATGGACGAACAACTCACGTTGTGGAAAAACATCAAAGTCCACGAGTGGACGAACACACAGAACTGTCGCCCAGAGTTTACAGCTCCAGAAGGTCAAGAAAACGACGCGTTGTTTACACTTAAAATATTAAAAAGTCTAACCTCCGCTGATGTAAACGGAACAAATACTAGCTACGATGTCTCCTTTGATGGTCAGATCGCGGATCAAGAAGCCCAGGTAACAGACGACCTCCACCAGGAACGTGCTGACCATGTAGCGCTTCTCGAACGCACAGGGGTAGAGACCGTCAATGGCTAGGGTGAACCTCAGCATGTTGCCTGAGGAGAGAGGGAGACCGACTGAGAGAGGATGGAGGGTAATCTGTGTTCGTTGTTAGCTTGAGCTTCAGCATGTTACCTGAGGAGAGAGGGAGACCGATTGAGGGAGGATGGAGAGTAATCTGTGTTGGTTGTTAGCTTGAACCTCAGCATGTTACCCTAGGAGAGAGGGAGACCGATTGAGGGAGGATGGAGAGTAATCTGTGTTGGTTGTTATGATAAATTATAGCAGGTGACGTGAGGAGAGAGAGAGAGAAATTGGGAATAGAAAACGGGTTCGATGACAAATGTTAATCTAAGCAAATGATCTGAAGAGAGACAGAGGTAGACAAAGAAACAGAGAGAGAGAGAGAGAGAAAAAGACAGACAGACAGACAGACAAACAGACAGACAAACAGACAGACAGACAGATGGACGTACGACAGACAGACAGACAGACAGACAGACAGACAGACAGACAGACAGACAGACAGACAGACAGACAGACAGACAGACAGACAGACAGACAGACAGACAGACAGACAGACAGACAGACAGACAGACAGACAGGCAGGATGGATAACATATTTTATTGGTTAATGTGAATTTCAGCGGATAACTTTCTAACAGATGCAATAATAACAGTGCCAGAATATGGACCGCAACAATAACAGTGCCAGAATATGGACCGCAACAATAACAGTGCCAGAATATGGACCGCAACAATAACAGTGCCAGAATATGGACCGCAACAATAACAGTGCCAGAATATGGACCGCAACAATAGCAGCAACACTGAAATGTATTACATACCACGCCAACGGAAGATCCCATCCGAGAGATCTCTTTCTCCTCTGACACGAGGCATTACATAAGTAGAGACATGAAGTTATAGAAGAACCATCAAATAAAGATAACAACATAGTGCAAGTGTCAAGAGAGGGTTGGACAAATGTACCACATGCTCGTGTGTGTGTGTGTATGTGTGTATGTGTGTATATGTGTGTATATGTGTGTGTATGTGTGTATATATATGTGTGTATGTGTGTGTATGTGTGTGTATGTGTGTATATGTGTGTATATGTGTGTGTATGTGTGTGTATGTTTGTGTATGTGTGTGTATGTGTGTGTGTGTGGGTGGGTGCGTGCGTGCGTGCGTGCGTGCGCGTGTGTGTGTGTGTGTGTGTGTGTAAGAGAGAGGTGATGGTTGACCGGAGAATCACAGTCTTAGTGACACTGGAAAAGCAAATCTGTTAAATCAGTTGAATCCATCCCTGTACGCGGTCTCCACCGTGAACGCTCGCTACAATCAACTCACTTCTGTCGATGGCAAACATTACCTGATGGGGTCCCCGTGTCTTCCGCTCTTTCCACGCTTTGTTTTTTCATAAACATACGTGGAAATCAAACCCTAGTCGCCAGAGATCATGGAATGGTTGAACGCACTCACTAACCTCTAAACCGCTGAGCCCCGTTTGATTACGTACCTCCTACACTTCAGATGACGGCTCCTGTGACTTAGGCGTTGCGAGTCCGACCCGCAACTCCAACGTACCGCTATCGAAACCCACTGCTGGCTGCGTGGATTTGTATCATTGTATGGGGCCTCACAGCTCGACCCAGCCTACAATGGGTACCAGGATGACCTGGGAAGGTAAAGACGGCCAGTGTAATGCTGACCACATTACCCGCATAGTGCCCATTGCTCAGTAAAATATGGGACGCTCTTCCCATATGCCCGATGCGCCTAAGGCGTGAAAATGGATCTTTACTTTTGTTTTTTTTTTACTTTACACTTTAAATGACTCCCAGTGTAAAACTGAAGCACTCAGAAAAATTCTCCATGCCATGACAAAATGTTGTCAGACATCTTCTCACACTGTCTTCCTTTGTCTTTCTATCCACATATCTTTCCAGTGATCACAGCGTGTTCTAATTTCTCTCTTACCATGACATGACTTCAAAATTACTGTCTCTTTCGATTGTTAGTGATAAATTGTCTTCGAGCCCTTGCCTCTTTCAAAAGATCTGGGTTTTTTGTTTTTTTGTTTTTTGTTGTTTGTTTTGGTTTAAGGAATTCTAAGAATTCTTCTGTAAAAACCACACGGCCAAGACCTTAAGAAATTGTTCGGTTTGTTCATTAATTGTCCAAGATTAACAGTCAAAAATGTTCTTTATAAAATGCAAGTTTGTCCTGTCCTGTTCTGTTCTTTATCTGTGCGATAATCTTCATTCGGATGTTATCCATGTACCTGGATGCTAAAACACCTACCACAATTCGAAGGTCTCCACAAGTTGCACAGACACTTACTTTCATCTCTGGCGGCAATGCGAAACCACGAGGCAGGCACACTCTCTTTCAGTGTCAAGGTCACTGAGGTGGCACTAGGGTCTCTGTTGCAGGTTTCATCATCGTTGTCATGGAGATAGCTGGGACTGCTCGGGTCGGCGTATCTCCAGGCCATGTCCACTGAAACAAACAAACACAATCTACGTTTATGACCAGCAAGCAGCACATCCGCCACATCTTGTGACATAATTTACGTTAAAATTTACAGTTCAAATTAAAAACCTGTCGGCGAAAAGCACTGGCGGGGTGGGGGTGGGGGGATTATGGTCGAACAATGTGGCAGGTCATGGGATACTACATGGTTCAGAGCTCCAAAGGGTAGTCGAAAGGCAGTTTGTCATTCAAACAGGACTGCGGCAGTTCACTCGTCGATCCAGGGACTAACACCCATATCGCTAAGTCTGTACAGTAAGAACACTGCCAAGACATCAACGCTTCAGGAAAGGTCAGTTAAGTAATCTTGTGTATTAGTGTGGCATTGTTTGATTTATGATTCTCCTGATAAAGGCTCTGAAAAAGATCCCTGATCAACTTTTCATTGGGTTTTATATTTGTCCACGGACAGTCAAACGTCATATCTAACCCTGCATCTTCTCATCCAATGCCACCACCACTGTTTCGTGTTTATGATCAAGCCCTTCATGTGCACAACACCGTAAGCTAGGATCGCTTCGTTTTCGTTTCTTTCCTTTCTTGGTCGGTAACTCCCTAACCCGCTCAGTAAGGATCGGTAACTCCCTAACCCGCTCAGTAAGGGTCGGTAACTCCCTAGCCCGCTCAGTAAGGGTCGGTAACTCCCTAACCCGCACAGTAAGTGTCGGTACCTCCCTAACTCGCTCAGTAACGGTCGGTAACTCCCTAACCCGCTCAGTAAGTGTAGGTAACTCACTAACCCGCTCAGTAAGTGTAGGTAACTCCCTAACCCGCTCAGTAAGTGTAGGTAACTCACTAACCCGCTCAGTAAGTGTAGGTAACTCACTAACCCGCTCAGTAAGTGTAGGTAACTCACTAACCCGCTCAGTAAGGATCGGTAACTCACTAACCCGCTCAGTAAGTGTAGGTAACTCACTAACCCGTGCAGTAAGGGTCGGTACCTCCCTATCGTGATAATTCTATCTTCTTCTTCTTCTTTTGTTAATATCTGCATATGCTGCTAGGCGTCATCAGACGATCGGCAGCCGAGCCAGGGCGCGCTCAGTCGCTTGATCTGCCGTGACGCTATGCAGTCTCAAGTTGTCAGTGACTCCTTTAATCCATAATTTCCTCGATCTTAACTGCCTCTTTGTGTTTCGATTTTCAGGTTGTATGCTCTTGCTGCTGGCATCGTTGGTTTCATTCTCTTTAGATGGCCAAACCATTTCATTCTTTGTTTCTCAATAAATTTGACGATGGATGTTGCTCCAACAGTTCTTGTGATCACGTCGTTTCTCACTCGATCTCTTCTGGTTTTATTCACAGCCATTCTCAAACATCTCATCTCACAGGTATTTAGTTTTCTCTCCTGTTCTTTTGTCAAAGTCCAGGTACATACATACACTGGTAACCTAACGTCGGTAAAATATTGTATTTATAATTTGTCTTGTTGTCTCTATCGGGGCAGCAATACCCATTCAGTCCATTCAATTCTGTATTTATATGGCTTCGGAAGTTGTAGGAGGAAACTATACAACCATCCCTTGGAACTGAATCTATTGGAATACTGTTGTTGCAACCCGACGTCGTTTCTCTAAGTTCCTCATCACTTAGCTTCTCAAGATATACTTAACTCCATCTGGCCCGAATGCACTATCTTTTTTTTTCTTCAGCACACGCTTTGTATTGTTCTCTTGTAGGATGATACGTCATACGTCTTATCCCTGATTGTCTAGTCAGATTACTAACAACGGCTTTTCTGGTGGTCGCGGCATTCTTATCTAAGCTAAAGTAACCGATGCCTCTCCTCTGGGCGGTGATCTGTTATACTATAAAGCGGATGTGGTTAGGGTTCTATAGGATCAGATAAGCAGTGCAAAAGATCAGATATGGAATTTATACACTAAAAGATACATTCAGAGGAGGAATGTGGGAGGGGGAGTGGGAAAAGAAGTGGGGAGTGGGGGAAGGAGGGGGGGGGGGCATGAGTAAAGTTCTGGAAGATCTTCAACACTGAGGAGGACTTTTAATCCGGTTACAACTGGTACTATTAGCATGTCATCTACGTTGGCTACTGAAGAAGGGGACAGAGCCCTTGTGGGAATGTCCCGAGTGCAGTGATGTCTATTCATTCATTTATTCATTCATTATGTCAGCTAATCGGACATATGATGCTAGACCGAGAGACACAAAACAATCAACTTGCATTTTCCTTATGTGTTGAATAAACAACCATTGGATGAGTGCGTGTATTTATTTATGTCTGGGTAGAGGGATAGATGAATTGATGTGCGAAGTGACACAGCGATGGATGGAGGCAAAGATAGACTGACAGAAAGACCTGTAGTAGATAGGTAATTATGTAGATAGGTAGCCATGCAGGCAGGCGTAGACAGACCGACAGACAGACGGATATACATACAGACCGACACATACATACAGACCTACACATACATACATACATACATACATACATACATACATACATACATACATACATACATACATACATACATACATACATACATACATACATACATACATACATACATACATACATACATACATACACACACATACATACATACATACATACATACATACATACATACATACATACATACATACATACATACATACATACATACATACATACATACGTACATACATACGTAAACACACACACACACACACACACACACACACACACATACATACATACATACATACATACATACATACATACACACATACATACATACATACATACATACATACTACATACATACATACATACATACATACATACATACATACATACATACATACATACATACATACATGCATGCATGCATGCATGCATGCATGCATGCATGCATGCATGCATGCACGCACGCACGCACGCACGCACGCACGCACGCACGCACGCACGCACGCACGCACATACATACATACATACATACATACATACATACATACATACATACATACATACATACATACATACATACATACATACATACATACATACATACATACATACATACATACATACATACATACATACATACATACATACATACATACATACATACATACATACATACATACATACATACATACATACATACATACATACATACATACAGACATACATACATACATACATACACATACATACATACATACATACATACATACATACATACATACATACATACATACATACATACATACATACATACATACATACATACATACATACATACATACATACATACATACATACATACATACATACATACATACATACAGACAGACAGACAGACAGACAGACAGACAGACAGACAGACAGACAGACAGACAGACAGACAGACAGACAGACAGACAGACAGACAGACAGACAGACAGACAGACAGACAGACAGACAGACAGACAGACAGACAGACAGACAGACAGACAGACAGACAGACAGACAGACAGACAGACAGACAGACAGACAGACAGACAGACAGACAGACAGACAGACAGACAGACATACATACAGACATACATACATACATACATACATACATACATACATACATACATACATACATACATACATACATACATACATACATACATACATACATACATACATACGTACATACATACGTACATACATACGTACATACATACGTACATACATACGTACATACATACGTACATACATACGTACATACATACGTACATACATACGTACATACATACGTACATACATACGTACATACATACATACATACATACATACATACATACATACATACATACATACATACATACATACATACATACATACATACATACATACATACCATACATACATACATACATACATACATACATACAGACATACATACATACATACAGACATACATACATACATACATACATACATACCATACATACATACATACATACATACATACATACATACATACATACATACATACATACATACATACATACATACATACATACATACATACATACATACATACATACATACATACATACATACATACATACATACATACATACATACATACATACATACATACATACATACATACATACATACATACATACATACATACATACATACATACATACATACATACATACATACATACATACATACATACATACATACATACATACATACATACATACATACATACAACATACATACATACATACATACATACATACATACATACATACATACATACAGACATACATACATACATACATACATACATACATACATACATACATACATACATACATACATACATACATACATACATACATACATACATACATACATACATACATACATACATAACATACATACATACATACATACATACATACATACATACATACATACATACATACATACATACATACAGACATACCATACATACATACATACATACATACATACATACATACATACATACACATACAGACATACATACATACATACATACATACATACATACATACATACATACATACATACATACATACATACATACATACATACATACATACATACATACATACATACATACATACATACATACATACATACATACATACATACATACATACATACATACATACATACATACATACATACATACATACATACATACATACATACATACATACATACATACATACATACATACATACATACATACATACCATACATACATACATACATACATACATACATACATACATACATACATACATACATACATACATACATACATACATACCAGACATACATACATACATACATACATACATACATACATACATACATACATACATACATACATACATACATACATACATAACATAAATACATACATACATACATACATACATACATACATACATACATACATACATACATACATACATACTAC